AGCGCTGCCAAATGCAGCCGGGGGGCGGGGAATCCCCCGTTTCGGAGCCCCGATTCCCGGCGCGCCGGAATCGGGGCCCGGGGGAAACCCCACCCCGCGTGCGCGTCACCCGGAAGTGACGTCACACGCTGGGGGCGGAGCCACGCCATTTGAGGGGAAAACTCTTTGTTTTCCCCTCAAACGGCGTGGCCCCGCTCAGCGTGTGACGTCACTTCTGGTGACGTCCTGGCGGCACGCGCGCGCATCCCCCCAACAGCTCCCGGACAGGACGGACGGTCCCCCGCCGGTAAGAAATTGAGATTTGGCAACCCTAGGGCTGTGCCACCAGAGGCCTACTAGGCCCAGGGGGCCTGGCTAGCAGTAGGTGAGGCTGGGCCTACAACTCCCAGAAGCCCCTGAGAGGTTTTGGAGCCAAAATGGACCAATAGGGAAGAAGAAAGCTGGGGAACAAAAGGGCTGGTGCCAAAGCAGAAGCTGTTCTTTCTTCCAGAGGGCAGAGCCAGAGGGAAGGCTGCTGCAGGAAGAAACCCTCATCCTGAGGGAAGGGTGAGTCGTCTAGTGCCACTTGGTATAGTGAGCTAGGGACAGTATATATTTAGACGCGTTACGGCATTTGATTTCTTTTCTTTTCACCCACTTAACTGTTATTATTCTGCACCTTGTTTGTTTGACCTCCTATAAAATAAACCTTTTCCTTGTTGCTTACTCTGCCTGGTCCTCACGCCTGTTATTTGGCCAAAAGGGAGGTCTGAAGGTCCTGGGAGGGGTGCTCTGGGCCTTCTCAAGGGAACCTAAATCCAGAGTGGTGGCAGCGTCAAGTGACACCCCCCCACGTGAGCCATGACAGGCCGGGTGGGGATCTTTCCAACAGGGCTTCTGATTGGCCGTTCAGGATTCTAAAAGTGATGTTTTTCAAGTAAATATGTAATTATATACCTTTTTACATCAGCTAGAATATTGTTAGCCAAAAAATGGAAACAGGAAGAACTGCCCTCAAAAAAAGAAGTAATTGATAAAATTTTGTCAGTAGCTGAAATGGACAAATTAAGTTTAACATGAAAAGGTAATAGCAAAGAGACTTTTGAAAAAAGATGGAAAAAATTCTATGTATGGCTGGATAAGGAGAATATGTATGACTCGCAAGAATGTTAAATGTAAACCGATGATATGATGTATACTGAAATTTTTTAAAAATAAACTTATTAACAAAAAAAGGATTCTAAAAGTGTCGTTTTTGAGAGCAGCGGCCACCACGGCGCAAGGATCTTCACTGAAGGTTAGCTACGGCAGCTGCTTTGTGGCCATTTCGGCCTTCTGCGGGCTCAGGAGAGGTTGGGGAAACCCCCCCCCCCCAACGTATAACCACAGGCCTCTTTAAAGAACTACAATTCCCAGAGGCCTTTGGGTGGACTGTTCAGCCCATTCGGAAATCTTTCTCCATTTGATCCTCTGGATGTGCCGTAACTTTTGCCGTTAAGCGTCCCGTTTCGGCAGAAACAAGAAGCAACCGCAAACGCCACCAGTTGTCGTGGGCCAGCTTGACCAGCCTGAGTCCCGTGCGCCTGAAGACTCCTCGGGAGTCGAGGGAACCACGTGCAGCCAGCTCTGAACCAGCTCTGAACCAGCTACAGATACAGGAGCCTCAAGATTCATTGCCAGCCCACCCACGCCTAGCTCTGAGGTAGCCGACAAAGCACAGCGGCAGGAAAGTGGCTCACCGGGCTCACCCCCCTAATTGAACAGCGAAGGGAAAAGCTCCGGCAAGACTTAAGGACATGCAGACAAGAGTGCTTGCCTCTTGGCTCGGCACCAGCTGGTTAATGACAGCAGTTCTGACTTCTGAGTAAGTGCAGAAGCACCTCCGAGCAGATGGCTGCAAATCAGGCTTCTTAAGGAATTGCCTATATAAGTCAGACCTGGAGAACTGTGGGTTATGGAAGCAACTCGTCACAACCCTGTGAACTTTGCGACCACAACTCTGGACTCTGCCTGCCTCCTGTGACCTTTGGACTGACCCTCGACTCTGCTTTTTGGACCTGCCTGAACCTTGCTGATCAACGACCTCGGACTGTCTTTCCGGAACGACCCATGAACTCTGACTGCTGCTAAACTGGTATCAGACCCCTGGACTGGACACTTGACTGTGATCTAGCTCTGTGGCTTAACTCTGTGGCCCTGCTCTGCCTGTATCCCAGGACACCTGTCTTTTTATCCAGCCAGATGGAAAACAGCAAAACAATCCACTGACTGTGTCATGATCTGTGTAGGCCTGGGAGAAAGGCCTAGAGGCCTGTGTGGGAGTGGAAAGCAGACAGCCTATAAACCCCACAATGCTTAGCGACGGTTGTAGCCAATCGGTGTACAGAGATTGTGTGAGGAGATTCTAATTTAAGCTTTCTGAACTGTGAATCAGTGTTCTTTCTTTTGCTCTTCTGCGGTCTTCCCTCTCACAGAGTTAAACTGTCTGGTCTGAGGAGAAAGATCCCTCACTTGGGACAGTAGTAACCAGTTAAGTGAACTAGGTAGCCGCATTAGATTTGGTTATTTTTGCCTTTAAACACTGTTATATATTTTAAGGAGCTGCGGTGGCTCAAGTGGTTAAGACGCTGAACTGCAGGCTGTGAAAGGTCAGTAGTTCAGCAGTTCGAGACCCGGGTGCTGCATGACGGAGTGAGCTCCCGTCTCTAGTTCTAGCTCCTGCCAACCTAGCAGTTCGAAAGGAGAGAGGGTTTTTTAGTCACGCGGGATCCTTGGGTATGTCTTATGTATTACTGTTTTTAAAATTGTTTTACTATGTTTTATTGCACTGTGTGCCATACTGGTGTAAGCCGCCCTGAGCCCGCATGCGGGGAGGGCGGGGTATAAATGTAATTAAATAAATAAATAAATAAAGCAAGAAATTGCAAGTAGATAAATAGGTACCACTTTGGTGGGTAGGTAACAGCGTTCCATGTACCTTGGTGTTTAGTCGTGCCGGCCACATGACCACGGAAACGTCTTCGGACAGCGCTGGCTGTTCGGCTTTGAAACGGAGATGAGCACCGCAACCCTAGAGTTGGACTCGACTGGCTTTCGAGCAAGGGAACCTTTACCTTTTTATTTTGTTTTAGATATCGGCGTGTGTGCCTTGTGGTTAGCTGCCCTGAGCCCGCAGTCCAGTGTGGTGGCCGCTGGAAGTGGCAAACCCCCTCGGGGGGTCATGACAGACCGGCAGCCCACAGGGCTGAAGTGGGCCTGTTCACTCACCTACGATCTGGATCGCGATCAGCGTCCCCTTGTGCCAAGTCTTGGTCCGCTTCTTGCCCAAGACACGGTCGCCCACCGCCAGGTCTCCGTCTTGCATGATTTCGCATCCGGGGCTGACTTGCTGGGATCCTGTCAACAAGAGTTCGAATCAGGCCCCGGCTGGGAGGCGTGGTCTTCAAGAGGGACCCGCCAAACCCCGCCGCCTTTCGACGGCCTGCTCACCTGTTCCCAGCAGTCCCAGCTGCCCAGTTGTTTTGCAAGCCGTGAGCAGCTTTGAAATTGATTTGGGGGAAAGCCAGGGCTATTTCTGGGCAGGAAAGCACAGGAACGGAGTTCCGGCCGGCTCCCAAGTTGGCCACGCCCAGCAGGAACTCATTAGCATAACAGTCCACACCCAACAGCAGGAACTCATTCGGATTGGCTACAGTAGGGGTGTGTGGCCTAGCATGCAAAGGAGTTCCTGCTACAAGAAAAGCCCTGGGTTTGGACAACAAACAAGGTAAACAGAATAAGAAGCAAAAGGTGGGTGTGGCTGGATGACCACACTTCTGGTAACATGGGGGTGCGGCCTAATGGGCTAATGAGCTGTGCTGTCAGGGGTGTGGCCCAATATGCTAATGAGTTCCTGCTTTTGGGTGTGGCCTATTATGCTATTGAGTTCCTGCTGGGCTTTTTCTACAAAAAGAGCCCTGGCCAAAAGCCAACATAGAAGCATAGAGCTGGAAGGGACCTCCGGGGTCATCTAGTCCGATCCCCCGCACAATGCAGGAAATACACAAATACCTCCCCATCCCCACATACCCAGGGACCCCTGATCCATGCCCAGAAGATGACAGAAAACCTCCAGGATCTCCAGCCAAACAGGCCTGGAGAAAAACGGCTTCTGGACCCCGAAGTGGCAATCAGCATTTCCCTGAGCATGTCAGAAAGGGCCACGAGAACTAAGCGCTGCGGCAACCCTTCCGGCCCTCCCTTCTCGTGAACTGCCTCATTCCACAGAACCAGCATGGCTGTCAGATGGCCATCGAGCTTCTGGAGTCCTAGTCCCGCTGGTGGACCTCCTGGTGGCCCCTGGGTTTTGGCCACTGAGTGACCCAGAGTGTTGGACTGGATGGGCCATTGGCCTGATCCAACATGGCTTCTCTTATGTTCTTATGTCTGGGACAGTGATGTTCTGTCTTCTTGGTGCTTCGGGGGCAAGAGTGGGAGGGCTTCTGGAGTTACAGCCCCACTGGTGGACCTCCTGATGGCCCCTGGGTTTTGGCCACTGTGTGACACAGAGTGCTGGACTGGAGGGGCCACTGGCCTGATCCAGTATGGCTTCTCTTACGTTCTTATTTCTGGGGCAGTGATGCTCTGTCTTATTGGTGCTTGGAGGGGGCAAGAGTGGGAGGGCTTCTGGAGTCCTGGCCCTGCTGGTGGACCTCCTGGTGACTCCTGGGTTTTGGCCACTGTGTATGACACAGAGTGCTGGACTGGAGGGGCCACTGGCCTGATCCAACACGGCTTCTCTTACGTTCTTTTTCTATTTTACAGACAGTTTTACGCCGCTTATATCCAACGGCTTGTTTTTTAAATACAGTGGCTCTTAATTATAAGCCACCTTGACTGGGACCCAGAAGACAGGGGATAGAAACATTCCAAATACGTACCCTGGCTGCTGGACTTTTTGTTCACCGCCTCCATAAACTTCTGCACGTCCTGAGCCGATTTCCTCATGGCAGCCATGGCTTCTCGAAGCTGCGGGAAGAGAACAACAAAAAAAAGGAGTCTTGTGGCTTAGCCTTGAAGACCTGAGCAGATTGTTTGTGACATCAGATGCGCTGAATGAGAACCCGCTTCTTTGGAGGCGTGAAATCTGTCCTCGGGTGGGACACGCAAACAGGCAAGGGTATACAGGAGAGAAATATAAATAAAGGAGCCAAAAGGGAAAGCTCAAGATGTTAGTTAGCCTGTCTGTAGCAGGAGAAAAGAGCCAGGGTCCAGTAGCACCTTAAAGACTGACAAAGTTTGTGGCGGGGGGGAGCTTTTGTGAGTCACGGCTCACTTCTTCAGATACCACGAGGTTGATGGGTTTCCGTCTGTGTGGCTAAATGCGATGCCTTCAATGGAGATAGGTAAAGATGGGTAGGCATGCTAATCTGTCTGTAGGAGCAGAAAAGAGCAAGACTCCAGCAGCACCTAGAATCAATGTTCCCTCTAAGCTATGGAGTCTTGTGAGCAAAAATTCTACTTTGTGAGCTACTGGCATCAAAGTTGTGAGCAAGCAACTTGGCTGCTGCATAAATTAGTTTGCTCTGGAGCCCCATCCTTCCTGAGCAAAGACAGAAATGTGTGAGCCAGAGGCTAAAAAACTGTGAGCCAGCTCACACTCACTCGGCTTAGAGGGAACACTGCCTAGAATCAGGCAGGCAGGCAGGCAGGCAGGCATTTATTACGGCGACAAGCCATAGAACACACATGCTTAAATATAACATTCATAACATTCATATAGCTGAATTTAGGACGGTAAAATAAAAACTCTATAAAAATACAGTTGAGCGTAATAAGGTCAAAGAAGAACATAAAACAGAGACTATTAGGCAACGATTATTATATATTTGATCGTGTATTTCGGACGCAGTAGCAGGCTACCCAAAATGTTGCCAGTTTCGGTAATTGTCTGGTTACCATCAATTAACGGTCGGTTACACTGCTCAGCACCTGATTGTCCCACCATATCTGTTATAAGAGGAGTCATATATTTGTCACGGATCTTGTTATACCGGTTACATCTGAGCATCACGTGCTCAATAGTTTCTATCTCTCCTGAGCCGCATCGACAAAGTCTGTATTCAGTAGGGATCCTTTTGAATCTGCCCTCAAGCATCGCAGAGGGGAAAGCCTCACATCTGGCTAATGTGAAGGTTTTCCTACCTAGAATCATAGAATCACAGAATATTAGAGTTGGAAGGGACCTTGCAGGTCATCTAGTCCAGCCCCCTGCACTCTGCAGGAGCACAGCCGAAAGATAGCCCTATAACACACCCGAAAGATGGCCGTCCAGCCTCCGCTTGAAAACATCCAGCGAAGGAGCCTCCACCACCTCCCGAGGCAGACTGTTCCACTGCTCAACCACTCTGACAGGACGTTTCTCCTGATGTTTAGCCGGTATCGACTCCCTCGTAATTCCCACCCACTGGATCCAGTCTTGCAATACAGAGCAAGAGAGAATAGAAAAATACAGATCCGCTCCATCTTCTGCGTGACAGCCCTTCAAATATTTGAAGTCTGCAATCATGTCCCCCTCTAAGCCTTCTCTTTCCCAGGCTAAACTTTAAAGACTAACAAAATTTGTGGCAGGGGAGGAGCTTTCCTGAGTTACTGCTCACTTCTTCAGAAAACAGTGAGCAGTGCTCAAAAAAACTCATACCCTCCTACAAATTTTGTTCGTCTTTAAGATGCTGCTGGACTGGCTCTTTTCTACAGAGGCAGTGACGTTTCCCTCTTAGTCAGTTCCAGAGTTTCTAGAAAAGACCCCAGCTAGGACCGCGTTAGCAAAAACAGAAGTTCTGACAACCACCAGGTCATCAGGCCGACCCAGTTCCGCTCCACTCACCAAAGACTGGTCCTTTGCCGTTTTGTTACTTGTGTCGCCTGCAATTAAGAGGGAGGGAAAAAAACTGTCAACGCATTTATGAAATTGTGTGTGCCGGAGTCAAACAACCGAACAGCTCTTCCTCTCGCAACCCTGCTAGCCAATTTCCCCAAGGATAGCTTCTGGACCGCTGAACCCTGATCTCACAAGAATTCTCACCAGAATCCACACTCATGACATCGTCGTCTTCGTCGGGGATCTCAATCACTTCCATTGGCTTGGAGGACGCGTCGTCCTCGTCGGAGGCGGTCTCGCAATATTCCAGGCCCAAGCTGGTGTAGACGTCTTTCACGAGCACTTCGCATTTGTCAACGGCTCTGCGGGGTCAGAGACTCAGAGTGAGGGAGCGTATGTGTCCAGACTGAACGAGACCGGCGTCTGCTCGCCTGTTTTCAGCACTGTATCCTGGGAAGCTAGGGCTTCGATGGATCCTACCTTGTAAAAAGCTACTCTCCTACGGCGAGTACGAACTGCTCGCGGGAGACCAGCCGGGAAAGTTTCTATTGCTGGAAAGTCAGCTGTATAAAAAAATAAACTCCACAGAGGGGATAAGAACATAAGGAGAGCCTTGCTGGATCAGACCAGTGAAGATCTATCTAGTCCTCCATCCTGTCTCACATAGAGGCAAACTAGTTCCTCTGGAGGGCCAACAAACAGGGCAGAGAGGCCAAGGCCTTCCCCTGCTGGGGAAGACCAGAAGAGCCCTGCTGGGTCAGACCAGTGAGGGTCCATCCAGTCCAGCCTCCTGTCTCACACAATGGCCAACCAGTTCCTCTGGAGGGCCAACAAAAGGGCAGAGAGGCAGAGGCCTTCCCCTGAGAAGAACACCTTGAGCCTGCCAAAGGTTGACGCTAACCAAAATGGCCCCGCGCCTTAGCACGTTTAGATCTTGATGGCATTCCCAGGCAGCAGGAGGAAGCCAAGATATCTGAACTCTCATCTGGTTCTCTGGAAAAAAAACAGAGTCTCAACTTCACAGGCTACACAGAGACCAGCCTGGGAGTCGCAGTTATGCTGTTTTCCCTCAAGAAGACAAAAATGTTGGATTTTTGAACTCAGAGGGCCTTACTGTCTGCTGAGCCTCCGGCACTGCTGCCATGACTGGTGGGTGGGTGGGGGGAGATGTTGGTCTGCCTCTGTGCCGGAATCTTAAGTTTCATTTCTTCTATACTCTTCTTAGCTTCAGCTGCTGACCTTGGTACCTTGTGACCGCTTTCCCCCGGGAACGTAGACCCATTAGGTTAGGTGGGCTTTTGCTTGTTCCCTGATTGAACCCGGGCCATCAAGGGACCCCTTTTGAATTACGTATAACTCCCCGCTGGCGCGCTTTCCAGCAGTTCTAACACAGAATGTATGCACAAAGGACCTGCTTTTACTGTACTCAATAAACTTTACTCTTTTGAATAAAAAGAAGAAGAGGAGATTGGATTTATAGCCCGCCCTTCACTACCCAAAGAAGTCTCAGAGCGGCTTGCAACCTCCTTTCCCTTCCCCTCCCCCAACAAACGTCCTGTGAGGCAGGTGGGGCTGAGAGAGCTCTGATAGAAACTGCTCTTTTTCAAGAACAGCTCTTGACAGAACTTGTGATTGACCCAAGGTCCCACCAGCAGCTGCAAGTGGAGGAGTGGGGAATCAAGCCCGGTTCTCCCAGATTAGAGTCTGCGCACTTAACCACTACACCAAACTGGCTCACTCTTGGGTTGTTGGGAGCTGTGGGGATCTGACAATTACGATGCTCAACCAAGCTTGTATCCCGCCATTCCTCACTTAAATAAATAGCAGAAATAGACAGATTGCCTAAGAACCCAGCAGCTGCAAGTGGACAACTGGGGAATCAAACCTGGTTCTCCCAGATTAGCGTCTGCACACTTCACCACTACACCAAACTCAGAAAAAAGGTCAGTAAAGGAAGAACACGACAGAGGTTGTAACGATTTCATGTTTATGTGTGTGTGTGTCTTTAAAAGTTTGGTTTATATTGCTGTGTGATGACAATCTAGAATGCTGAAATAGGCGAGTGGTGTGACTGGTGAGTGACAGAGAGGGGGAGGGGTTTTGGATTGGATGCTGTGTGGATGATTTGAGTGTCTATCAGGGGTGACTGTTAGAGTGGAGACAGTTTATGATGACAGTTGAGAAAGTTAGTGAGATGACTGTGGAGTAAAACAGAGTCAGCAGAGAGTGCTGTGTGAAAGCAGTTGTTATAAGTTCTGTTTAGTAAAAGAGTTAAGCAGTTTGTTCTTTTAAGGTCTGAGAGTTAAGAGCTGGGCATGAAAGAAAGTGACCAGCAGTTCTGTGTTGAAACAAATATAAGCTGAAGTTGAATGTATAAGAAACAGTTAACATATATGGCCTAAGGAAAATATTGTTACATAGTGACATGCCCAGAGCCCTGTCAGTGAAGAGAAAAGTGTGTGAAACGGCAAATAAATCTACTTTTATTTAAGATAACAGTTCTGAACGAAATTCCTCAGGAAATAACACATAGTCCTTCATGAATGCCTAGACCCTGGGCCACATTACCAAACCAGAAGAAGAAATATATTATAGTAAGAGGCTGGGAAAGCCTTAAATTTCCCTGGTGGCGGCGAGAATACCCTACAGAGTAAAAACATAAGAACTTTTAAAGGCAAACCAGACCTCCCCAAATAAGAGGTCGTCACAGAGGTCTATAAAACTATGCATGGTATGGACACAGTCACAAAATCACAAAACTGCGACTGACTTATTTCGGCCATGTCATGTGGAAGAACTCGCTAGAAAAAGCAGTTATGCTTGGACTGGTTAGCAGGAAAAGGAAACCTGGCTGCCAAATAACATGGCGGCTAGACACCATAAAAGTCGGCACCAGCCCGAGCATGGAACGACTCAAGGAAACAGTACAAGATCGGAAAACGTGGAGAGAGCTGGCCCACAGAATCGCCAAGAGTCAAACAAGACCGAATGGCTAACAACAACAACGGAGACATCCCATAATACTAGAATCTGGAGTCACCCACTGAAGCTGGATGGGTGGTAAATTCAGGACAGGCACAAGGAAATACTGCTTTGCACAGCGCGCAGGGAAACTGTGGAACTCACCGCCACAGGATGCAGACATGGCTGCCAACTTGGGGAATGGACAAATTCGTGGAGGACTGGGCGATCACTGGCTACTAGTCACGATGGATATCTACTCCCTCCCATACCAGAGGCTGTACGACTCCTTAAATCGGTTTCTGGGGATCAGGAGGTGGGAGGATGCCGTTGGAGGGAAATTCCTAGAGGCACCTGGTCAGCCACTATGTGAATATAATGCTGGACCTGTTGGGCCTTTGGTCTGATTCATAAGGGCTCTGCTTAAGCTCTTATGTTCTAAACAGCAGCTGCTGATGTGTCAAAATCACTTAAATTGTGAGCAAATGTTAGCAAATATATATACCCACACCCATGCACAGAAAGGCATGTCTTTTGCAAGTCACCTTGGGAAAGGAAGGATACTAATATCTTAAATAAATCACTGCAAGCTGCTTTTGGGGCCTTGTGTGCGAAGGAAGAAGAAGGAGAGAAGTGATTGGATTTATACCCCGCCCGTCACTCGGCGTCTCAGAACGGCTTACAAACTCCTTTCCCTTCCCCTCCCCTCAACAGACCCCCTGTGTAAGGCAGGTGGGGCTGAGAGAGCTCTGCGAGAGCTGCTCCTGAGAAAACAGCTCAGAACTTGTGACTGACCCAAGGTCACACCAGCAGCTGCAAGTGCAGGAGCAGTGACTCAAACCCGGTTCTCCCACATTAGAGTCTGGGCTCCTTTCCCCTTCCCTTCCCCACAACAGACACCCTGTGAGGTCGGTGGGGCTGAGAGAGCTCTTTCGAGGACTGCTCCTGAGAGGACAGCTCCGAGAGAACTCGTGACTGACCCAAGGTCACCCCAGCAGCTGCATGGGGAGGAGTGGGGCATCAAACCCGGTTCTCCCAGATTAGAGTCCACCGCTCTTAACCACTACACCAAACTGGCAGTAGATTCACAGTCAGCTGCTTACTTCTCGGCATTTTCCAGGAGCTGGTCCACATGAGCCACTTCGTCCTCTTTCTGCTTCACGTACTCCTCCAGGTTCTTCAGCTCCTCCTTCCACCGCCGGACCCGCTCCGACTTCTCCAGCTCCTCCTCGATGAACTGCCGGAGCTCCTCCATGGAGATGCCCAGCTCCTCCGTCACCTCGCGCTGCAGCTCCACCATGTCCTGTGAGTCTGCCATGGCGGCAGAAACTGCAGTGGGGAACAAGAGGGGCGGGGGGGGGGGCTGAGATGATGTGGCTCCTGGACGGCCTCTTTCTTTCTTTCTTTCCTTTTTCCTGTTTATTTTCCATATTTTCCACCCAAAGACAAACATTTCATCATTCTCTTACATTATATAGATTTTCAGAGTTATTAAATCTCATTACATTTCTTATACAAATTATTAACTACTTGCTTGTTTATTAAACCATTAGAAGAAGAAGAAGAAGAGATTGGATTTATACCCCTGGCCCTTCACTTGGAGTCTCAGAGCGGCTTACAAACTCCTCTCCCTTCCCCTCCCCACAACAGACACCCTGTGAGGTAGGCGGGGCTGAGAGAGCTCTGACAGAAACGGCTCTTTTTCAAGGACAGCTGTGCCAGAGCTTGTGACGGACCCAAGGTCACATCAGCAGGTGCAAGTGGAGGAGTGGGGAGTCAAACCCGGTTCTCCCAGATTAGAGTCCGCGCACTTAACCACAACACCAAACTGGCTCTGGTTACTTGTCTTATCCAGTTGTATACCCCTGACCATCTTTTATTCTGAATTTTGTGGTCTTTAGGTAAAGGTAAAGGTTCCCTTTCTCGAAAGCCAGTCGAATCCAAATCTAGGGTTGCGGTGCTCATCTCCGTTTCAAAGCCAAAGAGCCAGCGCTGTCCGAAGACATTTCCTTGCAGTTCAGCGTCTTAACCACTTGAGCCACCGCAGCTTTAAAGAAGTGGTGGTCTTTACCTTGCAGTTCAGCGTCTTAACCACTTTAGCCTGCAGTTCAGCGTCTTAACCACTTGAGCCACCGCAGCTTTAAAGAAGTGGTGGTCTTTACCTTGCAGTTCAGCGTCTTAACCACTTTAGCCTGCAGTTCAGCGTCTTAACCACTTGAGCCACCGCAGCTTTAAAGAAGTGGTGGTCTTTACCTTGAAGTAATAAACTCAATTTATCCAATTGTGCTAATTCTAAAATTTTTGATATGAAGTCCTCTTTTCAGGGTATTTTATCTGTCTTCCAGTTTTTGGCCACTAATATTCGTGCAGCTGTTATAATATATACTAATAGATATATATATCTTGCTTTACATAACCTTTTGGGACAATATTCAGCAAATAGATTTAAGGCGTTGGCTCAACTTCTATGTTCAATATTTCTAGGATAATTTTATGTACCATTTTCCAATATTTTTGTATTTCCCTGCATTTCCACCACATGTGATAAAAGGTCCCCACATTCGATTTACATTTCCAACATCTGTTAGACATTTGGGGAGAACACTTTGCAATTTTATCTAGGGACCATTTACCACCTGTGAAACATTTTATAGATATTTTCTTTAAAGGAAATAGCTCTCATAAATTTAATAGATTTCCATATTGTGCTGGACGGCCTCTTTCTTATGTGGATTCACAACCACTGTTCCCTCTAAGCTGAGTTAGTGTGAGCTAGCTCACAGGGGTTTTTTAGCCTCCGGCTCACACGTTTTTGTCTTAGCTCAGGAAGAATGGCTCCAGAGCAAACTAATTTATGCAGCAGCCCAATCGCTCGCTCACTTTAATGCCAGTAGCTCACAAAGTAGAATGTTTGCTCACAAGACTCCACAACAGAGGGAGCGTTGATCACAACCCCTCCTCAAGAGTAGCCCTGTTAGTCTGTCTGAGCAAGAGTCCTGTAGCATCTTAAAGACTAACAACATTTGTGGCAGGGGATGAGCTTTCGCGAGTCACCACTCACTTCTTCAGATGCAGTCCATCTGCCCTTATATATCGGAAAGTGGAGTGATTTCAGATGCTAAATGATATTAGCAAACAAATGACAATAGCAGGTGAATGACAACAGCAGGTGTGATTGGATGAGGTGTGATATGCAGAGGAGGAGTAGTAATGAGACTGGAAACCTAGGTCTCGATTCAGTCCAGGAGAATGCATTGTCCTGAGCTTCACGCTTACTACCCCTCTGCATATCGCACTTAATCATGTCCTTCGGCATCTGAAATCACCCCAGTCTGCAAAGATATAAGGACAGATGGTCTCACATTCTAGCTGTATTTGAAGAAGTGAGCACTGAATACAAGCATGGACAGCTTCAAGAAGGAATTAGATAAACATATGAAGCAGAGGTCCATCAGTGGCTATAGCCACAAGGTATAGACAGGGACTCTCAGTCTGGGGCAAGGGATGCTCTGTGTTCTTGGTGCTTGCGGGGGGGGGGGCAACAGTGGGAGGGCTTCTGGTGTCCTGGCCTCACTGCTGGACCTCCTGGTGGCACCTGGCATTTTTGGCCGCTGTGTGACAGATTGTTGGACTGGATGGGCCACTGGCCTGATCCAACATTGGCTCCTCTTATGTTCTTATGAAAGCTCATCCCCTGCCACAAATTTTGCTAGTCTTTAAGGAGCTCCTCGACTCTAACCCCCTCTTCAGTCACCCAGCCTTTCTTTCATCCCGGGCATGCACAGATCGGGTTGCAAACTCTAGCTTGGGAAATTCCTGGAACACTCGGGGTGGAGCCTGGGGGACCTCGTTGAGGTTTAATGCCATAGAGCCCACGCTCTAAAGCAGCCATTTTCCCCAGCGGAACTGATCTCTGTCGCCTGGAGACCAGTTGTAATTCCAGATCTCCAGGCCCGCCTGGAAGCTGGCAACCGTATACACAGAGCAGATTGCTGGCCCCACTGAATAAACAGTCTTACAGCAGGTCCTCCCCACGGACCCACACTCTTCACCCCAAGGCAACCGTACCACATTTTAACACCCTTCCCCCACATCCAGCCACCAAGGCATCCACCACAGTTCTGCCGTGCTTCTCGAAAACTATTTTAGAAGAGGAGGAGGAGATTGGATTTATACCCCATGGCCCTTCACTACCGAAGGGTGTCTCAGAGTGGCCTACAAACTCCTTTCCTTTCCCCTCCCCACAACAGACACCCCGTGAGGCAGGTGGGGCTGAGAGAGCTCTGACAGAAACTGCTCTTTCAAGGACAGCTCTTGTCAGAACTACGGCTTGCCCAAGGTCACACCAGCAGGTGCAAGTGGAGGAGTGGGGGAATCAAACCCGGTTCTCCCAGATCAGAGTCCGCGCATTTCACCACTACACCAGACTGGCCATTGAAGTCTCCTTCCAATGCGCGTACATAGTACCCCCCAATGCATGCAATTCAGTTCTGCGCGGTCTAACCACTTCCCTATTGCCCGTCTCACAGACACAACAGGACCCCTGCCCCCCCAAAAAACCTCCCCCTCCCCCCCCCCCAGCTCCTCACCCACCATCCCACCCCCTTCCCTTCCCTAACCCTCACCATTCATCTTGAGAGGCGGGCACTGTCTTCACTCCTGTGGGAACAAAAAAAAAATGGAGGAGTTGGAGCAATGTGGCACAACATCCCTCCCGGTGGCCCTCGGAAGTCGTGTGGCGGTGGTCTAGGAACCTCCTGATTGCTATGGTATATCGCCATAGAGATTTGGAGAGTCCCTAGAGAGTCCCATGGTGCCATGTCCCTCCTTGCCCCCCCTTCCTTCCTCCCTCCCTCCCTTTTGGCTCCAGCTTAGGAAATGCCTGGAGATTTGGGAGCGTGGCCAGGGGAGGGGGCTCAGATGGGATGCCCCCCCCCCCATAGCTGCCTTATCTTCCAGGGCAATGGAGGTCAGCTCTAACTCCAGGGGAGCTCCCGCCCCCAACTGGAGGGTGGCAACCCTAGGGGCAGAGAGTTTGCAAGGGCCCTGCCCCACCCAGGTAAATGGGTGTCCCCCTCCCGCCCCAATCCTCACCTGTCCCCCAAGTGGGGGAAGGGAAGGGGGGAAATTTCTCCCCCCCAGAAATCAATTGAACCTGAAAAGTGGGGAGGGTGAGGGGGTGGGACAAAAAGCGGAAGTCGCACCCACGTGCTTCCGAGGGAAGGGGCCTATCAGGTCCCCAGAGGCGTTGAGGGTTTTTTTTTTTAACTTCCTTCTCCCCGCCTCTGTTCCGGTAGGCGCATGCGCAGCCGCGAGATCGCGGGTCAAAGCATCTTAGGAACCGCAGGCTTCCTGGACGCATGCGCTCCAAAGCGGAGCAGCCCGGAGAAGAGTGAGTACGCATGCGCTGTTGGGAAGCGAGCGAGAGAGCGCTGCTCGGCGACGGTTCTCCCGGAGGGCGGCGGAGAAGGCAAAGCGCGCAGGCGCTGTGGGCCGGGCATTTAAAGGGCCAGCGTCTCGCCTCGGTCGTTCGTCTTTGAATTCACGTTTGTTGCGGGTTTCGGCTCTTCGTCTATTCAGTTCTGCAGTTAATTCGCCTATTCAGTTCATCGAAATTCTGCAACGCGGTTTCCCCCTCGTCTGTCTTCATGCATCCTAAGCGTTAGGGGCTGAGCTAAAAAGAGAGAGGGGAGCTCAAAGTGACTTAAGCCAGGGGGAAAAGTTTGGCTCCAGTGGCACTTTCAAGACCAACACTGTTTAATTCTGCCTATCAGCTTTCCTGTGCATGCGCACTTCTTTAGATATTTATTTATTTATTTATCAAACTTATACCCAGCCCTACTTATAAAAAGGTCAAGGTTCCCTTGCTCGAAAGCCAGTCGAGTCCGACTCTAGGGCTGCGGTGCTCATCTCCGTTTCCAAGCCGAAGAGCCAGCGCTGTCCGAAGACGTTTCCGTGGTCATGTGGCCGGCATGACTAAACACCAAGCGGAACGCTGTGACCTTCCCACCGAAGTGGTACCTATTTATCTACTGGCAATTTCTTGCTTTCGAACGGCTAGGTTGGCAGGAGCTGGAACTAGAGACGGGAGCTCACTCCGTCATGCGGCACCCGGGTCTTGAACTGCTGAACTACCGACCTTCCACAGCCTGCAGTTCAGCGTCTTAACCACTTGAGCCACCGCAGCTCCTACTTATACACAGATATAAAACTTTGTCGGTCTTAGAGGTGCCGCTGGACTCCAGCTTTGTTAAGTCCGGGAACTAAATTTACACATGGCAAGATGGGGGGGATGTGTATATTTTTTTCCTCCTCACTTTTGTCAGCAGTGCATGCCTAAACAGGCAGAAATTCAACCTGGCCAGCTCTTTGCACGTGCTCAGTGTTCATGTTATGTCCGCTACCGCCAATAGGCGCCAGCGGTATGCAACCCAAGCTTGACTCCCTAACAGGGGTCATTTTGTAGAAAAAGAGGTGCAGGAGCTCATTAGCGTAACTTATTTACATATGCAACACCCACCACTCAGACGCCACTGGACTGTTTTGGATTGCTAGCTTTTTTGGGGGGGGAATGTGCAGATCTGTCCTCGCAGAGGAGGGAGAGCTTGTACCTGAATAAAACTTGGTCTTAAAAGGTGCCACTGGCCTGGGGTTTTTTTGGGGGGGAGCTCTGCAACTTGCCTGGCTGCTTCTTGCTCTGACTGAGGGCTGCTGGGAGCAGGGGGTGGGGCTTGTTGCATGTGCCCGCCCCCTGGGCTCTTTACTGCCGGAGCTCCGCTCCTGTGCGCTCCTGCAGGAAATGACCGCTGCTCCCTAAGAACAATAGGGACTAGGATCCTGAGCCTCCCAGTTAGCACCTATCGGAACTGTGGCGGGAAGTTCAAACCTTCCAATGGGACTGGTGGGTGTGCCCCTGGGACTGTATATAGTTGGCTGCCCTGGCCGGTATTGGTTGTTGTGTTGTGTACCAGTAAACTACGAGCTGTTAATCACTGAGCGTCTGTCTTCTCTAGCCGTCGAACCCAGTACGCAACAGTTCACAAGCTATGTAACAGAATGGTTTGAAGAGGGCATTGTTATAAAGGAAATAGAGCTAAGATTGGTCCAGGAAAATGAGCTGTGTTCCAATGGATGTAATACCGTGTTCTGCATTGTTTGACATGTCAGAAGAGCAACAAAAGAACCCTGCTGGATCAGACCAGTGGTCCATCTGGTCCAGCATCATATCTCACACGGGCCAACCAGTTCCACTGGACAGCCAACAACAGGGCAGAGAGGCCGAGTCCTTCCCCTGACGTTGCCTCCTGGCTCTGGGATTCAGAGGTCGACTGCCTTGGAACATGGAGGTTCCCCTCAGTCACCGTGGCTAGCATCCTCCATCAATCGAATCCCCTTTTAAAGCCGTCTGTTCTAGTGGCCATCACGGCATCCTCTGGCAAAGAATTCTACATTTTCATCACTCGCTGTGTAAAGTAGTATTTCCTTTTCTCCATCCTGAACCTACTACCCATCAGCTTCATTGGATGACCTCAAGTTCTAGTCTTTTGGAAGAAGGTGTAGCGGTTAAGTGTGTGTGGACTCTAATCTGGGAGAACTGGGTTTGATTCCCCACTCCTCCACTTGCACCTGCTGGATGATCTTGGGCAAGCCATAGTTCCGTCAGAGCTGTTCTCTCAAGGGCAGTTCTCTCAGAGCTCTCTCAGCCCTACCTACCCCGCAGCATGTTCTTATTTTAAGTTTAAAAAAACCCCTTTGTGTTTGTGTCCTTTATAAAGTTTATATCTCCGCTACCTGGCATTCCAGGTAACAGCGTTCCGTGCGCCTTGGTGTTTAGTCATGCCGGCCACATGACCACGGAAACGTCTTCAGACAGCGCTGGCTCGTCGGCTTTGAAACGGAGATGAGCACCGCAACCCTAGAGTCGGATTCGACTGGCTTTCGAGCAAGGGAACCTTTACCTTTACCTGGCATTACATTTTATGACACACGTGGCCCGGCCCAGCAAGGATGAGATGGTCAGACAGTGTTATCGAAGCAACGAACATGAAATTAAGCAAACTCCGGAGCACGATGGAAGATAGGAGGGCCTGGCATGATGTGGTCCAGGGGGTCGCGAAGAGTCGGACTCGACTGTGCGACTGAACAACAGCAACAACACAAGAAAAGATGTAGGTTAGAGAGTAGCTAGAGAAGATGATTTTCCTGTACTGCTTTGTTACTTTCAACTCTCAGTTTTCCCTCCCTTTGTTTAAAAGCGAATACAAGTGTTCTGCTGAGTTTATTAACTCTGCTTTTTCATAGAAATGCCTTAGCAAAATCTTGCTAGGGTTCCTCTAGGAAGTCGTTCAAACAAAGTACAGTTATAAAGCATATGGCGGAATTTCCACATTCTCAAACCATCTGCTGGACTCTTGATAGACAGGATGTTAAGCCAGTTTGGTGTAGTGGTTAAGCGCGCGGACTCTAATCTGGGAGAGCCGGGTTTGATTCCCCACTCCTCCACTTGCACCTGGCTGGATGACCTTGGGCAAGCCGTAGTTCTGATAAGACCTGTCCTTGAAAAAGAGCCGTTTCTGTCAGAGTTCTCTCAGCCCCACCTACCTCCCAGGGTGTCTGTTGTGGGGAGGGGAAGGGAAAGGAGTTTGTAAGCCGCTTTGAGACTACTTTGAGTAGTGAAGGGCAGGGTATAAATCCAATCTCTTCTTCTTCTTCTTAATGTTATTTGCCAACGACTCTGTCTGATTCTCAACTTTTTTGTTCCATTCACAGGTTCCTAGCATCATGACGATGTCCCATATTGGGCTTAAAGCAACACATCAGATTATCCTTTCAAGTCCTATTGCCCCATTAACTTGTCCCAAATTGGTAGCAGCCACGTATGAGAGTTTCCTCTGTTTCTAGAATATGACTTCCAGCCCTCTTGTTCCCAAGAGAGCGACTTAAAATCAGAGAGTTGGAAGGGACCTCCAGGGTCATCTAGTCCAACCCCAGGAAATTCACAAATACCTCCCCCTCCACACACACCCCGGTGACCCCTGTTCCACACCCAGAAGATGACAAAAAAAAATCTCCAGGATCTCCAGCCAAATTGGCCTGGAGAAAAATGGCTTCCTGACCCCAAAGTGGCGATCAACATTTCCCTGGGCGTGCGGGAGCAATGAAAACTGTATATGATTTTAGAGACAGAAAGCCGAAGTAAGGGCAGAAGGACTCTGATAAATGGCTCTTTGAAATAAAGAAGATGCTCAGAAAGTTCTCTCATAATAACTAGTTTACTAATATAGAACAATGTGAAAAACAAGAACTCTACAAGTATATTGTTTTACTAACTCCTTTAATACTAATCAGGGCTCTAGTCGGGGGGGAGCTCTCAGGTACGGAGCTCCGGAAGAGAACCTCTAGGGGGCGGGGTGATCACGTGGTGAAGCCCCGCCCCCTTCTTTACCCCGCCCTCTGCTTCGATCCTCATTCCGTTTGGGAATGAGGATGAAGCAGGAGGGTAAGTAGTCTCCCACTCTTGGGTTTTTAGTTAGTGTGGGTTTCTTTCCTTTATCCATAGTTGTAGTTCCCCTTCCTATATTTTTCTTTGTCGTTTGTAGTCTTATTGAAAAAATAAAAATACCCCTCCGGGGGTTTCAAAAAAACAACAACATTTCCCTGGGCGTGCAAGAAAGGGCCACGAGAACTAAGCACTGAGGCAACCCTTCCTGCCCTCCCTCTCGTGATTCCTTACAAATTATAGCTTTCAAGAAGAGGCTGGACGAATATTTATTTATTTATTTATTAATCAAATTTATACCCCGCCCTCCCCCGTAGGGCTCAGGGCGGCTTACAAGGCAAGAAATCTTGCAACAATAAAACATCCTATACATTTAAAACATACTATACAATTTAAAACCAATCTCAATACAAATAAAATGCTCAAAAATCCTCAGTTCCAAAACCCAGAAAGATGACTGACCATATCCAAACATTCCCGGTAGGCATTCAGTAGCTTCAATATTAAGATGTTAAAAGTTCAGATGTTCCTTCCTAGGGCCTTTTCCACCCCCCTATGATGACAATATAGCGGGGGGGGGCGGCGGCGGCCCCTACTCGAAAGCCTGGTGGAAGAGCTCCGTCTTGCAGGCCCTGTGGAACTTCATCAAATCCCGCAGAGCCCGGA